CAAAGGAAGAGCAGTGGAATCTGGGTGCCTTGGAGCTTAAGCTCTTCCATAGCTTTTGAGATTTTGTATGCATCTACATAGCTTGCTGAAGTTGAACACATTTTCTGAGTGGCTGCTTTCCGCGTCTGCTGGATTCCAAAGGAATCTCACTTTCCTGGCACTGAAAGGATTCCCTTTTTTTTTTTTTTTAAAGATTTATTTTATTTTTATTGGAAAGGCGGATATACAGAGAGGAGAGACAGAGAGGAAGATCTTCCGTCTGATGACTCACTCCCCAAGTGAGCGCAACGGCCGATGCTATGCCAGTCTGAAGCCAGGAGCCTCTTCCGGGTCTCCCACGCGGGTGCAGGGTCCCAAAGCTTTGGGCCGTCCTCGACTGCTTTCCCGGGCCACAGGAAGGGAGCTGGAAGGGAAGCAGGGCCGCCGGGATAGAACCGGCGCCCATATGGGATCCCGGGCATGCAAGGCGAGGACCTTAACCACTTGTGTCACCGCGCCGGGCCCAGGATTCCCTTGTGACCTGGAATTTCAGTTTGCATGATGTGGACTGCCAGACCCAAAGCTGTAAACACTGGCAGAGGAGTTAGTTTAGAAAATCTCTAAGAGATTTGGGGGGTTGGACCTTGTGGATCATACCCTTGGACATCCATGAGACCTGTAGGGAGGTGTGATGGCTGGAATTTTGCTGTACCACCAGCTACTGTGTTCCACATGTGGGGATTGGCAGGTTGTCAGTAAGCTGTGCCCATGTTGTCCCTTGAGATGAGGCCCTCTTTCTCCCTGACCGTGCTGATCATATGATCCTTGCCATCGGCAGTTCCACCAGTCTCCTTGGAGCCAAGGTTTTGTGTTTTGTTAGAAACTCTGTGGGCCCTGGGCCTCTCAGATTCCTTGCTGAACTGCCTCTGTCTTTTTTTCCTGGGAAGTGCCACATAGTGTCACATCTGTGAGCATTGTTTCTTGTGGGTTACTTCCTGCCTTCTCTTCTCTCCTTTGGAACCCCAAGTCCTGTGGCTTGCACAGAGCTGCCTCCTTGGGACTGCCTCTGGACAGCCTGACCCTCATGTGGTTCCTCTCAATCGTCCCACACATAAGCTACATCAGCGTCTGGTTTTGTTTATAATGTCCACATCTGGTTATGTCTTCTTTGGGCTGTGTTCCTGAAGTTCAGTGCCACCTTTTATACACAGTTATCTCTATGTTAGGTCTTGTTTTTCTTTCTTTGTACATTTCCCTGCCATTATGGTTTGTTTCATTTCATATATTCCTGGCGGGTAGAGGGAAGTTTTTGTGAACACATTGGTAAAATTGATTGTGTGGGGGAGTATCCCTCAAAAAGTCTTGAAAGAAAACTGTTATACAAACATTTAAATAAGAACTGCATTTATTTTATATATTTGCTTGTGATTTTTTCCAGTTTATGCCTTTTACATGCATTGATTCCACTGAGCCCAGACAGCTCAGCTTCCCTGACCACTGCTGTGCCGCCTCTATTTGATCTATATCATTGTATAATCAGATCAGATCCAAGGCTTGTGAGAGACGAAGCTTACAGACTCTAGGAGGCTTTCTTTAAGAAAAAATTCAGAATTTGATCAACTGAGTAATGGAAGTCAGTCATCATTTATTTAGAATTTGAACAGAAATCACAGCAAATAGATTTTAAAAAGCTAACCCAAGCCACAGTTACCAGAAGACCACAGAAACACGCTTTTTTTAAATCAGTGAACTTCTTTCACACCACTCTAATTCTTTATTCCCCATATTATTTCATATTGCTTTTTCACCTCTTCCTGTGATCATGATTTTGTATTATCATTCTTTACAGCAAGAGCAGATAATTCTTTTATATAATCAGCAAAAATTTGCCTTTTATTTAGAACAGCTCCTGCTAGCTTCATGTCTGGTAATGTCGCAGACATTTTAGGATTATAGAAAGGTCTTGGATTTCTTTTTTATGTGAATGGTTATGATTTGGGGAATTCATCATTATGAAGTGACTCATTTTAATATGCCCTTAAATAATTTAGGATCAAGTTCTTTGGGACATGGCTATATTGCCCTTTGGCCTCTGTTTTTGGCCTTGAATCCCAGTGTTGGTTTGACACAGTGAGTGTGCTCCTGGAAATATTACTAGACCCAGGTGTGCAGCAGTGACCAAAGCCACCCGAGAGGGAGCCATACAGGTAAGGGCCTTTAAGGTGGATTAGCCCCTAGTAAATATATCTTTGAATCCTGGGTTAGAGACACGCAGATACTAAAACCTAGGCTTGTCTGAAGGCACTGATAGTGGATGAGATGGACTGTTCCCGCACCCAGTGCCTGGTCAGATGTATCCGCAGTCAGGACTAGGACTAACCAGGCATGTACTTCTCAGGAAGGCAAAGGCTGCCTCAAAGGGCTGAGGAACGTGGTCCCCATTGTGATGAAATAATACTGTATGTCATGTTTGCATTGGGTTAAGACTTGGTTTTAGAGGAAAGAATCTGTTGCTAAATTATGTTTATAAAATAAGGGCTCGAGGAGTATTGTTAGGTGTCATAGTGAGAGGGAGTGACAGGTGCATGTTTGTATCAGAAACAGTGGCTATGGCATTGCATGCCTGCTGGGCCTAGAAACTGGAACCCAAGGAAACACACTTGGAAGAGTTCCCATTCTCATTCAAGGCTAAGAATCAGATGTAGTTGAAAGAATTGTTGTGGCTTACAGAAGGGTATCAAGATGTGCAAGGTACTGCAGGTTGGAACTGGTGGGCAAGAAACTATTCACTAGTGTGCCAGTGAAAGTCAGGGAAGATAAGTACCACCAAAGGGCCCCGAAAGCAGCAAACCAAACCAAACCAAACCAAACCCAAATCAATAAAGAACCCGAACCCAGGAAAGGCCTTCCTCAGCAGCATCTTTACCCCGCATGAACAGGTAGGAGGGACACATCCAGCCCTGTCTGTTGAAGAATGGCTTCTATGGCCTGCTGTGAGTTGACAGTTGCCATATAGAGGCCAGGAGAGAGCGCGACAGAGAAAGTGTCTGTCCCACCCTGAGTGCTTCTCCATGTGACCTCTGTGAAATGGAACTCCAGAAAGCTACATGTGCGTATTTGGGTTGTATTGGAATACAGGCATGGTTCCTAAGGAGACTGTTTTTAATCATGACCTTCTTTCATTTTGCCAACAAGCATTTACTGACTGGTTACTCTATGAAGTGTAACAAATAGAAATGGAATAGGAATGAATCATGTTCAAGATTGAATTAAACTAAATTGGAAAATTCCATGGCAGTTTTTATTTAAGAAAAATGGTTACCTCTTAAAAATCTTTTTGCCCTTTTTGAATGCACATTTTGAAATTATGCACATTTTGTGGGAGCTGCCTCCATTTTTATAATTATCTGTTATACTTTACCTCAGTGTACACTGTATAGCCTTAATGTTTTCAATGTTGCAGGTTGTTTTTTACTCTCCAGAATGCATTTCATCACATTAGGATAATTGTGCACTTGTCTTGGCTTTGCCTTTTTCCCTTAGCTTGTCAGAACATCTCTAAAGATTCTATTTGAATCAAGTAATTGAAGTTAAGCTTGAGCATTTAACAAGGATATTCCAAAAAATTATAGAAAAGTGGAATTGAAACATTAGTTTGATTCCAAAAGTTTCTTGAATCTATGTGTAGTTTTTTCAGACCACATGTTTTCCGTGCACTCATTGAAGACCCTTCCTAGGTATATACATGTATAGGCAGAGGAACCTTGACTACTGTGGCAGACAACTCCAGAATCTTAGCAACTAAACATAGTAGACACCAGTTCTTGTTCATGGAATGCTTCTGGCCTGGGTTGAACCAGGCCGCTTTGTGCAAGGTTACTTACTGGGCCAGTCTCCTTCCATCTCAGAGCTCCACTTTCTCCTGGGCTTTGGAATCTATGGCTGAGTCCTGGGTATGTAGTTGGCAGAGGGCAGGGCGTGTCACATCTCTTGACATTACCAAAAGCCAGTCTAGCTGTATTGGGAAGGTTTTGAGGAATCTTAGTTACAAATTCCAGTTTAGATGCCTTATCAGATATCCTGAATGTATTTTCTGCATGTAAATCATCCTTTTGATACGTATAACATTTGTTGAGATTTTTCCACTAATAGTTTAAAAAATGTGGGGCAGGCATTCATTGCAGTGGTTAAGATGTGGTTTGGGCCACCTACATCTCTTATCTGAGTTTCAGGGTTTGTGTCCCAGCTCTGTTTCAGATTCTAGCTTGCTGGCTATGTGCCCTTGGGAGGCAGCAAGTGGTATCTCATGTAGTTGGGTTCTTGCCACTCATGTGGAAAACCTGCTAGGTTCCTAGATCCTGGCTTCTGTCTGGCCTAGCCCTGGCTGTTTCAGGCATCTGGGGTAGTGGACCCGGAGATGGAAGCTGTTTCTTTCTGTTTCTCACAGAAATAAAAAATAAATTTTAAACTCTTGCAGCTGTTAGACTCGTTGACCACCAGGGAAAGAATAACTCCACTGAATATCTAAAGAGTTTAGATGGCCTTTATTTCACCACGATCACGGGCTTCCCTTCCCAGTGCAGCAGAAATAGACATGTGAAGTAGTGGGCTGCAGAGGAAGGAGAGCACAGAAGAGATGTGTAGGGGCTTTTTAAACTGTGCTTGACAGGGAAGCCGAAACAGGTCGCCTTGGCCCTTACTTGGTGAGGGAACACCATACTATGTGTTGGGGAACTCCAGGCAGACCCGGAGCCTTGAAAGGGACAGATAGAACTACAAGTTACTGAAGGAATGGCCGAACGTCCTAACAGCATACAAACCTTCTTTGTCTTTCTTGAAAGCAACTTTCATTGTCACCTGTTTCTGTTCCTTGCTGGTGGTTAAAAATAATACACTCTGCTTATGAAACACCTGGGAAGCACTAAACTTGTGGACCAGAATGTGTAAAGGTCTTTAATGTTAAGACAATACAGTAATGTACATCTGTACAGATGTTGCAATCACTCATTTATGTGTTGCAGGCCAAGCCAAAGCTCATTGAGCCCTTGGACTATGAAAATGTCATCGTCCAGAAGAAGACTCAGATCCTTAATGACTGCCTGCGGGAGATGCTGCTCTTCCCCTACGATGACTTCCAGGTAACCGCCAGTGGAACCCAGTGCTGGGGCTTCACAGTTCCTGTCTATTGATTTATTGTTCATGATGCTTAAAAAATGTTATTTACGAGATAATACTTGTCATTATATGTCCTTTGTGTGTTGAAATTTTTATAATTTCCATAAGGTATTATGTACACACAAAAACATAAAGAAGTGTATGTGAGAGAAAAGGTCGGGTGCGGGGGAGAGAGAGGAGATTGCATGAAGTTGCAACTCTGGTTTGATTTAGTGGGCACACGTGTTAAGAAATTGATTTAGGTTTGTGTTCAGGGTTTTTTTGGCCAGTGGTAGAGTCTACAGGAGGGGCATCCTGCTTGCAGTGAAAGGCTTTGCCCAGAGTGCGTGCTCCTGGAATCAAGCAGGAATGCCAGCAGGTCTGCTTCTCTAGGGTGAGGTAGGTAACGTGCTCTTCCCTGGAGGCAGTGTGTGCTGTGAGTTCCTGGTGATGCTGTGACACAGGAGTCAAGGAGTGAGGGTAGCACCCTTGTCCAGGAAAGCCCGTGCTGGGCAATGCCTGGAAGCCATCTGGTGTAGTTGGAGGCGTGGTTACTTCTGTCGCCCTCCTGTGACCTGTGAAATAACTGCTCCTAGTTCTCCCACCACCTTTCAGAGACTTCAGTTTAGAGCAAAGGTGGGAATTGTCACAGATGTTCTCTCTTTCTGACATGGGATGGAAAAATGAGTTCATTCTTTCCTGAATGATACTGCCTAGCTGTGATTTGGCAGCAAATGAGAAACAAAATAAAATGATTACAAATTATGCTGCATGTTGACAGAATTTCCTGTGTTCTCTGAAGAAGCAGAAGGTTATCTCAGGGTTCCCTGGGCATGATGGACATGTTCTTGGTACTCATGAGAGTCACAAAGTCATTTCTATTTTTGCTTTGAGCTTTGCAACTTAGACTACAAAGTTTTATTTGCAGATCTGAGATAACATTGCTTAGGAGGCAAACCAAAAAGCAAGATAAAGTTAATTTAGTTTCATTTTTAGCCCAAGGACCCGCAGGTTGGGTATTGGCATTTGTGCAGTCAGGTGATTGGATTTTTGCAAAAAACGCTTTGTCCTTCTTGCCTGTAATTATTTCTCTGGTGATACCAGGCGCAGATATTCTAAGAAAGGCAAAGAACACATCCACGTTTGCTGGCCGAAGATGAATGAACCGGTTATTTTCTGTTTGGGGAAAGTTTTGCCAGAGATAAATGGAGTTACATTTCAACTTTGATCCTCATAACAGTCATCGTAATGGTTCTCAGTGTGGGTCCTGGGCTTTGTTCTCTGACAGGCTTCCACTTTCTCATCAAGGGAAACGATTTTTACTCTGTTTTCTTACTACGTTGTCTCGGGGATGTTATTCAATGTCAGATTATCTGGATGAGGACAGGGCACCAGCAGTGCCACATTCTGTTTTCTAAGGCAGACAATAGGTAGAATTATCGTCGTGTTACTAGATGCAGAGGGAACACAGTAGGGCAGGGGCCATATTTTATTTCATAACCAAGGAAGACAAGTCAGTAGGAGATGGTCAGATGAACAGATTACAGAGAGTGATTTGCAGAACTACTCGTAAATAGTCAAGTTATATTAATGAACTATTAAAATAATAGAATTTTATGTAAACCTAAGCCTAGTATTAAAAACGATAATTTAGGGCTGGGCCCGGTGCAGTAGCCTAGTGGCTAAAGTCCTCACCTTGAATGTGTCAGGATCCCATATGGGTGCTGGTTCTAATCCTGGCAGCGCTGCTTCCCATCCAGCTCCCTGCTTGTGGCCTGAGAAAGCAGTTGAGGATGGGCCAAAGCTTTGGGACCCTGTACCCGCATGGGAGACCCAGAAGAAGCTCCTGGCTTCTGGCTTTGGGTTAGTGCAGCTCCAGCCATTGCTGCCGCTTGGGGAGTGAACCATTAGACAAAAAATCTTCCACTCTGTCTCTCTTCTTCCTCCTCTCTGTATATCTGTCTTTCCAATTTAATAAAAAAATAAATAAAAATAATTTACCAAAATATAAGTATGGGTAGTAATGTTACATTTGTACATTCCGTGAGTAGGACATGCATTGATATGGAGTGCTTGTCAGACCCTGTGTTCATCTACTGATTCTCTGGAAATGAGTTGTATGGAAAAAACATTAGTTGGATATACTTGCCTGAGGCTGAAAGAAATGTGTAACAGTCAGACGTGAAATAAATGTAGATTTTATAAAATTAAAGCAAGCAGTGCTGGACCTGCCCTGTCACTGGCAACAGTGTTTGGACACTCAGAGGTAGGCCCTGGAGCTTTGGGGTCTGTGCCATCTCTGCTCCAGCGTTCTCTTCATGTCCATTGTCCCAGAGCTGTCTTCTCCATCAGAGGCCTTGTGACATCCTGTGTCTTCTGAAACTGCTGAATTTCCCCCTCTGATTCTCCTATGTTCTCTCTTACTTATTGTCCACACTAATACTAAAGCGCATCGCCTTGACCTTTCATCTGAACACATATCCACCTTTTCTCTTCAAGGTTACTGTCTGTGCCATGGTCCTGAGGAGGCCCCAGGCCCCAGGGGTATACATCTGTGTCCTCCTCTCACCCTGGTGGGTGCTGGGCTAAATATCTACTACTATATTTCAGATATCTGCTGTTACCTTTCAGATGAGTATCTAAAAATTAGTATTATTGTGGACAACAGGTTATTTTTGTTTGATGTAAGAATTAACTGTTTTGACCAGTGCTATGGCATAGCCAGTTAAGCTACTGCTTGTAGTGTTGGGCACCCCTGAGGAGACGAGTTCAAGACCCAGCACTCAACTTCTGATCCAGATCACTAGTAATGCACTTGGGAAGACAGCAGCAGATAACTCAAGTGACTCCTGGCTTCAGATCTGTTTCACTCCAGCCATTACAGCCATCTGGGGAGTGAACCAGACGGAAGAGCTCTCTTTCTCTGCCTCTCCTCTATGTAATTCTGCCTTTCAAACAAATAAATAAAATCTAAAAGAGAGAGAGAGAAGAAGAAGTAAATATTAACATCTTGTGGCATACGAGAAAGTCCCAGTGGTTAGATTTGTAAAAGTGAGTGCTGGTTCATTTAGTTTGATAGAAACTATGCAATTTCTGGAGAAAAAAAGTAGTTGAAGTGGAGTCTTAAAAAGTACACTTTTCTGGGCCCGGCGCGGTGGCGCAAGTGGTTAAAAGTCCTCGCCTTGCACGCCCGGGATCCCATATGGGCGCCGGTTCTAATCCCGACAGCCCCGCTTCCCTTCCAGCTCCCTGCTTGTGGCCTGGGAAAGCAGTCGAGGACAGCCCAAAGCTTTGGGAACCTGCACCCGCGTGGGAGACTCGGAAGAGGCTCCTGGCTTCGGATCGGCGTAGTATCGACCCGTTGCGCTCACTTGGGGAGTGAATCATCGGATGGAAGATCTTCCTCTCTGTCTCTCCTCTCTGTACATCCGCCTTTCCAATAACAAAATAATAAAAATAAATCTTTAAAAAAAAAAAAGTACACTTTTCTGATAGTTAATGAACTTTTATTTTTCTTGGAGTTTTGTGGTTTTACCAGGTTCTTTTTTTTATGATTTATGTATCTTTGTTAAGAAGTTAGATTTACAAAAAGGAGAGATAGAAAGATTTTCCATCTCTTTCATTCCCAAATGGCTGCAGTGGCCAGAACTAAGGCCATCTGAGGCCAGGAGCCTCTTTTGGGTTTCGTATATGGGTACAAAGTCCTAAGGACTTGATCCATCTTCTGCTGATTTCTCAGGCCACAAGCATAGAACTAGATGAGAAGTGGAATAGCCAGAACACAAACTGACACCCAATTGGGATGCTGGTACTTGAAGGGGAGGATTAGCCAGGTAAGCCACAGTGCTGGCTCCAAGTTTTCTTGGAAACATCTGAGAAGCTATTTCATAAGCAAAAAATAGGTACATTTTAACAATTAGAAGTGATAACCTTTAGGTCAATGTGGTTTAGATCAAGAGATGTAAGTTGACTCACCACTTATGCAATGGCAAATGTTTATATAGCTGAATATAATATCCAAGACGCCTACTTTGACATGGGTTAATATTGACTCCTAATCATTATTCTTCTTCAAATGGAAATTTTTTTCTCTAATTGGAAAGGCAGATATAGAGAGAAGCAGAGACAAAGATCTTCCAGTCCCTGGTTCACTCCCCAAATGGCCACAATGGCCAGAGCTGACTCTTAACCAGGAGCCTCTTCTGGGTCTTCCATGTGGGTCAGGGTCCCTAGGACTTGAGTCATCCTGTATTGCTTTCCCCGGGCCCAAAGTGGAGAAAATGGAGCACAAACCAGCACCCATTTGGTATGCTGGCACTTGAAGGTGGAAATTAGCCAGTTGAGCCACAGTGACAGCCCCCAAGTGGACATCCTTTTAATGGGTCATGATGTGGTAGCTGACAGCCCTTAATCTTTGTGATCAAGCCACTGAATATGCATCTGGCCTTCACGGTCCTTGTATTCTGATTTTGTTACATAGCCCACTAATGTTTATGCGTTTATGCAAAGTGGCAGACAGTGGTGGTGAACGGTGAAAGTGGGATGGTGGAGGGCAGTTTATGAATATGGTTCACATTTGTACAAGTCAGCCTTTAGTGTCTGGTGGGGGCCAATCGAGGGCAGTGTTTGTATGGGAGAATAAAAAGAGCCTGATGCCTTCCCTTGTGGGTGTATACCAAAGAATCTGGAAAGCCAAACCTGGAAGATACTCACAGCATCTATGCACAGTTGCCAAGAGACAGAAGCCCCTCATGCGCCCTCCCCAGTTGAATGCATATCACAAATATGATTCAGCCCTAAACAGAAAGAGATCCTATCATCTTCTGCAAACTGGGTGAACATTGAGGATATTATGCTAATTAAAATAAGCCAGCGACTAAACGAAAAACACTGTGTGACTCCGCTTATATAAGGTACGTAGAGTAATTATATTAACGGAAACAAAAGGTTCCAGTGTTTGCCAGCATCTAGGAGCAGGCAGGAT